TAATACAAAATTTTGACCAATTTATCCTTTGAACAATTGTTCATACACATATTAATTAATATATTAATTAAATTATTGTTTATTTAATCTCATTTAATAATAACCGTTAGATGAGAAAATGAACGATTAAGATGAGTTAGCATAGTTTGCACAAAATATTGGGTTAGTATTTGAATCAGCCCCTATACATATATATATATATATAACATATATATTTTTATTATTACCCAATGCATCAATAATATTAAACAAAATTTAAATTATGTTTTATATTAAAAACTAACAAATAAGACATCAAACAGATTAAAAAAAACAGATGTCACATTATAAATATCCTATATTAAGTCATGACATGACACAAACTTAACATGATATGAGACACAAATCTTAAGAAGGAAGAATGTGTTTTTATACATTTATTCCGAACTACTAGTTAAGGGACTAAAGTTGAAAGTTGTGAAATAGTCTATGGAGTGTTTATGTAATTCAATCTTACCGGAAAGAAAATGAGCAACAAAATGGCGCACTTTCTCACACAGACTACACTCTCTATCGCGGCGGCCGCCACCACCGGTATCACCGTCACAGAGGTCGGAACATCCTCCACTTTTTCTATCCACTCACCACTTCTCCAGGACGTCGAAGACTAATCTGTTGAATTCCAAACGGTATGTTTCATGCTTAGTTAATGTATATGCGCCTTTAATTTAGGTTTCGTTAAGTTAATTACTCCATCATTGACGGTAGAACATCAACCATCTCTTAATTTCATAGGCAGTTCTAATTTCGAGATTACACGAATAAGTAAATTGTTGAATTGTTGCTCATTCTTTGTTATTACATAAATCAGCGGTTTATTCGTTCGGAGATCTCCTGATGTTTTTGTAAACATAATAATTCTCCTTGTTAAAATCCAATTTAAGGGTTTTTAAGTTCGTCTATTCCATGTAACCTGTGTACAGAATTATGTACAATCGTAATTACATATTGAGTGATCATATTTGTTATTTGTATTGCATTTACCTTGATCAAGATGGGTGAAGTCATTCTAGGAATGCCAGGACCTTGGGCTGATGATAATTCTGAAGCAGCTGATCATTACACAACAAAAATCGGTGGACTTCCGGTAAATAATTTGAATAATCTGATAGCATGTTGTGTGCTAATGCGACTTTTGTTCATATATAACGAGGTTATCGTATCTTCCTATTGCAGGACTGGCCTTGTCTTAAGTTGGTTACAAGACCTAATCTTCTTAGGTGTGATTCTTGTGGAGATAACCTCTGTCTTGTGGCTCAGGTTAATGTTGAATGTTGCTCTGGTGCTTTTAAAGTTTTGATATTGGGATCTTCATAGGAAATTAGAGTGGTTGCAAACTGTGTATTTTTCATCATTATGAAACTTATGGGATTTGCTTTCTTACACAGATTTATGCTCCGATTTCCAGCAAGATATTGACAGTAGAAGAGCGTGTAATTTATATATTTGTTTGTGTTGCATCAACATGTGAGACCATGAGGTAGGTTATTCCTGTATATCCTATTGTGTTGGTATGTAAATAGTTGCAAATCATTACTGCTAACTCTACAAGAATGTAAAATTCACTTGCTTGCCAAAGTTTCGTTATAGATATTATGTTTATTTTAGGAAAATTAGAGGTATCATGTGTGGGTCAATAAAGTTGGATGATCTATGAAGCATGTAAGACTTGACAAACTACAGAAATGAATTCTCGGTATTGATTGAGAAGTTGGAAAAAACCAAGGAGCTTATGTGATTTTGGACGAAACCAAAAGGCAAAAGACACATTTGATTTGGAAAGGAGGGAGCATTAGTCATTTATTTTCTTATCTATGGAGTAACCACTAATTGCTAATAATTATAATTGAAGTTCTTATTTTGGTACTGTTTTGTTTCTTCAAATACAGCTGGTGTGCTCTCCGTGTTCAAAAATCTTCCCATGATAGAGAATCAGAGACTTCAGGTCATGATTCTTCTGCAGCCCCTTTAACCACTGAGTTGCGGGATGATCCATGGGCATTCGACTTTGATGATGAGAATGATGAAGATGATGCAATAGATCTAGATGCGTTAGGTAGGGCGCTTACTGAAGCAACAACCTTGGCTTCTGCTTCTCAAACAAAACGGCAGAACACTCGTCCAGATGCTATTGCCAAATGCTCACCTATAAGCCTAAGAGGTAGAGCAGTTGATGACAAAACAGCAGGTACTGTTTCAATAATTGTTAATAATCCTTCTCAAGTTTATCTTCATTTGCATGCTTGATTGGTGTGGATTTCCCCTTCAAAAGGTGGCATTTTTATGCTGAATGTGGTCTTCTTTTAGCCATTGAGGAAAATACACTTCCTGTTGGGTAAAACAAAAGGGGAGAGAGAGAGAGAGAGACGATATTTTTTTCCCTTTGGGGGGGGGAGGGGAGTTTATACTATGTTTCTGCGCTTAATTGTTTCACAGTATGGTGATGATTAATAAAAACCATGTTCATAATTGAAATGACAAAAATAACCATTTAAAATAAGCCTTACCTTTCGTATTTGTAAAATGGTAAACACACAAAAGTGTTGAAAGTATCTCTTTATTAAAATCAAAGAAAAAGGCCCGGGACCTGAAGTGCTTATACATGCTTGGATCACGGTTTGCTAAATTGTTCTTACTTGAATAACAATGAGGTCCTTTTTATTAGATGATTTGTTGTGCTGCACAATTTAAATTAAGTATGCTTTTATTGGTTGCAGTGTTACCGTGCTTTTATATATATACTCAGGAGGAGAAATATTCAAGGGATGTTGCTTCTGTCTCTACGAGCATTTCTTCACTTAATATCAAAGAGAACCAAAGTGATGGTAATGAGCATGCACCCGAGGAAGCATGGGAAGGGGAAAGTTATGAGTATGACAGAGCTCTAAACGCTGACAGAACCTACCTTAAGTTCAAGAAACGATTGGATATATACCCAGAGCAATGTTTCAGGTACAAGACACTGGAAAATTTTGATCCTTTTAACAACTTGTTATGCGCAGTGGCCTTTAGCACCTTTGACATTACAAATTTCATGAAAAAAAGCAAACATAAAGGGTAAAATGGTCTTTTAAATCATTCAGAGAATAAACAAACATTCTTAATCTTACCCAAGTTTCTTTATGTTGGTAAATGGATCTATATGGTTTCTGTTTCTTGAGATTCATTGCCACTTTAATATGATAGGTTGTTATGTGATAATGTGAAACAAGCAATAGAGTAGCAAGTAAAATACAAAATGCAGTGAAATAACTCGCAGTTTCCAATTGGTCTTCTTTATTTGAGAATGATCTCCTTTGCAGATACTCGTATGGTGGGAAGCCTCTTTTGGCGAGTGCAGAAACAGGAGATCCTGGAAGATGCTTGTTGTGTGGTGAATTAAGGCACTATGAAATGCAGCTGATGCCTCCATTATTATATTATCTACAGGAAGCAACAACAAACTATTCCCTGGAAAGCTGGAACTGGATGAGTCTACTTGTGTATACTTGTTCCAAGGTAAGCTCTTACAAGTAACTTTCCAAACATAGAAAATGGGATACTGAAAAGTCGTCCTTTTTTGTCTTTTATTCACGATGGTTGTGGCATTTGTTGCATTTTTTTTAATCATGGCTAGTTAGGATCAGGCAATTATGATGCGTTGTTGAGCCCAAGCCTCTAAGGATGTTGATAGGTTGTAAAGTAAGACGATGCTTGGCAACAATAAGCTAGCTTATTTTTTTGATGCAGTCGACTTATCAGTTAGTTTTGGCCAAATTTGATTAGTTAGTTTATCAGCTAACAGTTGGTTTATTGGCCGACAGTTAGCTTATCAACTAGTTTGCCAAACATAGCATGAGTTGTCTTCATACACTCGCGTGTGGCCTTAGTTCTTGAACTAAGTTGGTCAAACTACAAGAATTTTGAATTAGATGAGCAAACAAGAATGCTAAAAAGATTGGGAGAAGTTCACTTCTATTACTCTTAAGTTCTGGAGTGTGATTTACAAATGAAAAACTACCTCTATCATATGTATACTAATCTAAGGATCTCTCTAGAACTCTATCTGGACTATTCTACTGGATATTTACAAGGAATGATCTAGTCACATTAGGGCTAGATATCTAGAATAAGGGCTAGGAATGATCATCTGGACCATACATTATAGGCCCTCTACCTTCAATGCATCTCGAGCTTTTGTTTATCTCCAAACACCAATGAAGTATTATTCTTATTAAGTCATTGACATTGGAAAATATTAGAAGAATGATTATGACTGAAAGACCAAGGAATTAGTACTTTCCCCGATCAGTTTTAAGTTTTAACGTCACTGCTACTGACAAATTTGAAAAACTTAGAAGAATCAATTTCATAAAATTTGTAGAAACTTGGCCTTTTAGCCCACAATTGACTAGTAGTCAACAGCAGACATGGTTAAGTATTGTGAAATGCTAACCTTCAGAAACGTCGAGAATTTCCAAAAAGGATATGTAGTTACAAACCATTTGAGATAAGTCTGGAATGCACCCTGTACCTGACTACTCGTGGTCGATAGGAAAATAATTATAAGGCTCGAGTTTTAGTGTGTGTTTCACATATTTAATGTATAAATCATCAAATAACGTTGATTTCTTGTATCCGTTTGGTTTTATATTTATACACACACACATGTACATGTATACACATAAACACACCCCTTATCTTTAATATATTAGAATATCTGAATCTAGGTATCTATGTGTCACAAACCTGTGTTCCCATAATAAGTTTCGAACTCTAAAAACGACCGCGAAGTTGAAACATATCTCTAGTGTTTGATTAACCTCTTATAAGATCCCAGATGCCTAATTGTGGTTAGTATTCTGACCATGCAATTGAGCAAAACCAGTATGGTTTATGCTGTTAAAGCAGACATGAATGACATTCTGTTTCTTCGGTGAAGGGTTGTGCACCCACCTTGAAGCAGGAAAGTGATGGGTGGGTCGTCGCTGAGGAGGCCATTGTGGTGCAAACCGAGTAGAACCTAAACATTTTCAGAAGCCATTGTGGTGCAAACCGAGTAGAAAAACACTTTCAGAAGCCGTTGATGCTGCTTGTTTGCTCCATTCTTCGTCTTTGTTGTTTGTAGCATTAAATTGTATATCCAGATGTTACTTGTATCTTCCCGGTTCTAATATTTTTGGTAATTGTGGATGTCTAAACCGGTTTGTGGACGTTAACAGCTAGACAAACCCTCCAGTTGCCAACAGGACTTGAACAAATGATCTTTGAGGAGCAAATTTAAAGTTTTATCGGTTAATCTACATTTTAGTTTAACACAATTTTAATTTGCAAATCGATGACTTATGGGCCGTTTATCTAAACACTTACCAGTAAAATTCAACACTATCACTTACTTACCGAGCAAGATTTTATTCACTAAAACGCATCATATGCAACAATTTATCTCGGTAAACGCTAACCATGGTAAGAGTTCTCATCTTCACTTACTAGGTAAGACTCGAGATTCTTGTTTTTGCTCTTATCTCCTTCCCATATTCATCCGGTAAAGTAAATTGACTTGATAAGTGCTTATTCGGGTAAGCATTTGGTAAATGGTACCTTATGTTTTTCCTTAGATGTTCTTTCAGCATCACCCATCATAGCGTATGATCTTCAGGTTAAGTAATTTGATTCAAATTCGAGAATTTAAATGATATGATCAAAAAAATGAAAATGCGATGCCAAAAAAACCTAGACCCAGTAAGCACAAGCATTAGCTCAGGTCTGGCTCTAAAAAGCCCAGTCTGGCCCTTTTTCAGCCCCCCGGGATTGAAAAGCCCAGGCCTTTTTTTGTTTATAGAAAACGGACTTGAAAGGCATGGGCATTGTGCATCTGTACATAAAAATATAGATAAAAGCACTAAAATACAACCTTCAATACACTTGATACAATTCACTGTAGCATTATAGTTTTGGGTTCGAAAATTTCTGCTCTGAACAAGTTTTACTATCAACGGCCGAATGCATTATATCCAACAGTTCCGCTTAATATGATTCGTGCAACGTCACATAGAAAACACAAAGTCCATAACTTGCAACCTTGGTAACGAGGGCAGAAACGAGAGAATAGAGACTACTCGAACTTCTTTATTAACGACATGTCATTCAGCATTTTCTCAATAGCCTCATCATCATGTACACGTCCCCTCGACTGCAAAACACACAATTAAATCATGATATGTAATCAGAAGATGGGCATACAATTAAATCATGCACAGATGAATTCTAACATAACACACAATTTCTAGATTTACATACAGTATAAAAAATGTTTGAAATAATCTACATTGAACACATAATGCTTTTCCAACGCTAGTTGTTTCATGTTTTATTGCACGTCAACAAATATTCCTTCCTATTGGAACCCTTTTTTTAGGGTGTGCAAGAACGTTGCAATGTTTCTGTTTTGAAAAGTTTTTATGTTAAACTTGATACGTATGTATTATATGAGAATATATAGAACCTCATCAGATTACTCTCCTAAAGAGCCATTGTGGAGAGATTTTTAAGTCTAGTCAATAATATAGGCTAGACGGGTACAGATGCACCCGAGTGTCGAGTCTCTTGGAGTGGTGGACAATGGATCTGATCCATATGAGAAAATGTGGAACCCATCAAATTACCCTCCAAAAAATTCTTTGAAGAGAGACGGGGGTTCCAACATACATCGAGAAGAAATAATCCAAGTCTAGCTGATTTGGGACTCCAACAACTATCATATATACATCGACGCTTCTGATCTGGTCTACAAGATTCCTAAAGTTTTGTTTTTATCGAAGGTTACTTGAGAAAATTGACAAGTACTTGAAGAATTTCCTTATAAGCCGAACACCTACGCAGACTCTTACGCAGCCTACGTAAAGATTTCTAGAGCATTAGAAAAAAAGAATCAGCCTACGTAAAGATTTCTAGAACATTAGGAAAGAGAAAGAATCGGCCTATGTATAGATTTCTAGAACATCAGGAAAGAAAAAGAATCGGCCTACGNGGAAAGAGAAAGAATCGGCCTATGTATAGATTTCTAGAACATCAGGAAAGAAAAAGAATCGGCCTACGTAAAGATTTCTAGAACATTAGGAAAGAAAAAGAATCGGTCTACGTAAAGATTTCTAGAACATTAGGAAAGAAAAAGAATCGGCCTATGTAAAGATTTCTAGCACATTAAAAAGAAAAAGAATCGGCCTATGTGAAGATTTCTAGAACATTAGAAAAGGAAAACCAATCCAACATAATAACCGAAAAAGAGAGGGGAGCGGAACTTATACCTTGATAGACGGGACCATAGCAATGGCTTCCTCCACAGTTTCAGGGCAAAGATTTCCAAGAACACAAAGCTGCACATTGGATAACAATGTGTTTCAGATTTTAATCGAAGGAAGAAAATAATAAAATATTGGTCGCTCGTTAGGAGCACATTACCTCAAATTCTGCTAACTGGTATCCACTCAGTAGCCTGAGTATTGGTTAAGAAAAATAGAACTGCTTTTACAACATAAGATCGGCACCAGAAAAGATCATAGTATTAAGAACAAGCTTTTAAATGTAAAAAATTGTGGATACTCTCGAACTTGTCTAACAGCATCTGGGTTCTTGTAGCGACTGAAACGCTTCACATATTGCAGGGATTTCTCAAACACTCTGACCATGAAGGGTAAAACTTAAAATCATACACAACAGTTATGCAAAGCCTAGCACAACGCAACTTCTATATAGACATATGAATTGGATCAACAATATTTTGCCACTTCGTTTTAGATAATTATCAGCAACTATTTGAATGCAGCCGTAAATAAAGAGACTAAGGTGGCGTTCCGCGTTTGGTTCACATAATGGATTTTGTCAAAGGAACGTAATTTGAAGGAATTAGAATGGAAGTTAATCAGGTTTGACCATGTGTTCTGTTGGCAAGAATTAGGATGGAATTTGTCAAAAGAATTGGGATATGTTTGTTTGGTTTGATATATGTATCTTCAGAACTAAAATAAAATTGGTGAAATTACCAAAATACCCCTTCATGAAATTTCCTTACTTTATTGCTTAATTAATAAATACCAGATAATGATTAAAGTAATACCAATAATATTAATTGGTGGCGGTGACAGAAAGTGATGGTGGTGGAGGTAGCGGTGGTGGTGGTGTGGCGGCAGATAAGGTAGTGTTGGAGGCGACAGTGACGGTGGTGGTAGTGTCAGTGGTGGCATGGTAGTGGTGTGGTGGGGAAGGTGGTGGAAGTGTGGCAGTGGAAGTGGTGGTGGTGGCGTTGTCGCGGTGACGATCGTCATAGTGGGATGGAGTATATTAGATTAAACATAAGGTCATAATAATCCTTCTCAAAATAAAATTGGAATTCCTTACGAAAACCCAAGGAATTTGAATTCCATCATAAGTCGAATTGGAATTCCGTCCTAAAACTCGTAGAATAAACCCAACGCATGAATGGAATTTGGTCATTCAAATTCCTAAAGATTCATGCGAACCAAACGCCACCTAAGCATCTCAAAGCAAAACTAGACGAGAGAAGCAATTTATACTCACTGAGAAACTTGATTCATTGGATCTTCTGACATCTGCTGAAGCTGATCATATTTGCGTTCAAGAATCAAGGAGACTTCGCAATTCATTAAACATTTGGCCTTCAGAAACTCTGAAAAAGGCATGTCCGGTTTTAATTAGCAGAAAACATGCTCGAGTTTCTCTTGTAATGCTTACAGAATTCACAGATGATGCAAGAACCCCATATCACCACTCACATAAAAGAAAATAACATACAAATGTGTCATGCGAAACTACATCCCACTCTCAACAATCAACAAATGAACTTCATTCCATCGAATAAGGGAACCCACATGGAATATTTTACAAACAGACTAAGGGGCTGTTTGGTTGGTTTTTCATTAAGTTTTGTATGATAAAGTTGACTGTATGGATATATCCATCTGTATAGATTGAGATACCTTGTTTGTTTATTGTCCTGAATAAACGGTCTGAATGTCAAAAATGACTATTTTACCCCTCACTGTATATTAAGCACCTATTAACATAACCGTTTGATAAATGTGTTCAATGTTGATTCTGAATGATAAAAGTTATCAATTTAAAGAACTTTTAGAATAAATTTTTTTTATCGACACAATTATATGGATTTAATGACATAATCACAACAAAATTTAGTAAGTACTAATGAAATTGATGAAATCATAGATCCAAGTAATCATATTTCTTTGAGACATTTTATCAGACACTTTATGAGCATAAAAAAATATAATACATTCACCATACATGTTCACAAGAAAGGAAACCCATTCCAGATCAATAATAAAACAAAGAAAACCCAATTGAAATTACACAATGAAAACATCTTAGGGAGGAAAAGCTTTTGAATCGAGGACTAAACACAATGAAAACACCTTAAGAAGAAAAACCTTTTGAGTTGAGGAGGGGAGCAGGGACGAGAAATAGCAATGCAAAGCGAAGCCCAAACCTTCAATTTGTGCTTTTGAGCAAAGAGCAAGGACGAGGAACAACACTGCCAAACAAAGCCCAAACCTTTAATTTGTGCTTTTGAGGGAAGAGCAACAACGCTTCCAGGGAAGAAATTTGTTGAATCGAGGGAAGGAGCAGGGATGACGATGGATAAGGGAGCAGGGGCAGCCATGGACATCAGAGAAGATTGTGGTAACCGGTAAAAATTGCATTGAAAAGGTGATTAATTTTCTGTGACGTGAGGAGTTGGAAGACAAGGGCATTTTAGAGAGAGTGTGGCTTAGCAATTAAGTTGGGCCAGGACAGCTGCATGAATAAGTCATGGCCTCATTCATTAAGCTTTAAACAAGCATCAATGTAAAGCTTAGCGAATAAGCTATAGAGGTCATTAAGCTTATTAAGTCGGTACCAAACAGCCCCTAACTTGTGAATGCAATGCCAATCTGCGTTATCAAGAAAGAATGTAAGGCTAGGTTTGGCAACCATAAGCAAGTTTATTTTTTGAGCTTATTGAAAAATCGTTGTTTGGTTAGCCATAGGCTAGTTATTTTCAGTAAGTTCCAGGGTCTTTTTCTACTTTATCCAATTAATTTTCAATCTATCCTTTTAAGATATTTTACATTGTCATCTAACAAGTAACAACTAGCTTATCAGCCAACAACTAGTATATTAGCTAGTTTGCAAAACATAGATAAAAGTGGGATCTATTTGGCGCAGTTTTCATTATGACTGAAAATGCGACAAGAAAATGATGGGATCCGTACCTTTAAGGAAAAGAAGAGGCAATAAAGTTATGACAGGACGTAAAATCACATGCAAATTATAAGTTCTAAGAACCTTACAGGTTCAGAAAAATGATATGTTATTTCAAGACACAAATTATAAGTCAATCTCCAAAGGTATGGATTGTGAAGCAAGCAGAGAACAGAAATGGAACTTTCAACTCTAGGAACATGCCATTAAGTCACAAGACACTGCATAAGACCAAGGGTTGGATTTTTCTCCAATTTCAGAATTATTAGAATATAAAACAGATTAAGTTGTCACTGGTCATGAACAGAAGACTGGAGAGGGTAGCATACGTCCAAATCACCAGAACTTAATACTATCCAGTAATTTGTAGAAGCGGGAATCCCACCTATGCATATCAGGTAACAACTACCAGAAGAAATTTAAAAGCAAACTGGAAAAGAATAATGACAATCAAAAGATATATAATCACATCCGTAAGTTGTTCAAATAAAAACCAGAGAGAAATTCATACCATCGCCTATTTTCAGATCTGCAGCATTCTCTTCCTCTTCTCCAGCAGCAGACATAATGAAAGATAGATTAAGCCTGAACATAAATTGAAGAAGTAAATAAAAGTTCGGAGCCAGAGTTGCCAAACATTAAGCATCCACAACCTCCAAATGATGAAACATGGCGCTAATTAATGACACTGTACTGTATCAATCATTCTTAGTACATGTAAGAAGTTATCAACGCTTATTCTATGAAATGAAGCTTTTCCTCCATCCAAAAATATATATATATATATATAATGGCTGATCTGGCACATAGTTTAGTGACATTGATTGACTATTAGTCCAATATCTAAAATGCCCCACAAAAAGAACAAAATGGAATAACCTTGTAGACGAAACTTATTATTACAAATATTTATTAATGCTTTGATTTCTGATGGTTATAAGAGTAATTTGATTGAAAACTTTTGCATTTACTATTTGTCGATGATACGTCTCAGCCCGACCCGCACTGGGGTCGGATATATCAGCTTCGCAAAAGAGAGGCAGGAAACAAGTAGAGGGGGGCTGTTTGCAATTTACTTATTCTTAATTATCTTAATTAGTTGATTAGGATAGATATTAATTAGTTTATTAGGATAAATATGTTTTCCTATTTTTTAGGATTAGGGTATATTTTTTAGGATTAGGCTACGGCTTTATTTAAGGGACCGGCCACCCCATTGTTTGGATTCATTCTAGTATTTTGATTCTTGTCGTAGACATTGGAGATTACTGGATCTTGAATTCCAGGGTTTATTTTAATAAGCATCCGATTAGTGGTACTTTTGGCCGCTAATCTTGATTTTGCCAATTGATTCRTATCAAATTGGTATCAGAGCATCGATCTTGCGCCTGTGATTTTATCCACGCTACCATGACCAAGATTCAGGATCTTGAAGCTGAGTTGACCCAACAGAAGACTGCCGTCGAACAGTTCCGCGCTGAGACGACGGAGCGGTTCGAAAACTTGGAGACCACCGTGGAATCGTTGTGCACTGAAATGGAGAAGCGACATGCGGAGATGATGAAGGTCATGTTGCAACAGTTCCAGGCGTTAAAGCCGCCACTACCGCCGACAGCAGCCGTGCCATCGCCAATCACCGATTGCACCACACGGCCCATAATGCAGCAATCGAATCCAATTTTTGATGAGAATGGGGCGCCCCTGCCTCTTTGGCATGCAACCAGCAGTACGGCCAGGGAACCGAACAGGCCCATCGGCACTCAGGAAATTCCTTTTCCGGAGTCAGGTACGTTTGTTTTTTCTGAGACTAAAAGGCCGTTTGGCAGCGGGTATGGAAGGGGCTCAGGACCTTCGGGGGGAACGGGGGTGGGTGCCGGGGGTGGACTACCGTCTTCGTAAGCTGAAGATGCCGTTGTTCGATGGAACTGATGCATATGGGTGGGTGTACCTCATGGAAAGATTTTTCGACGTTCAGGGATTTGTTACTACAGGGGAGAAGTTGAAAGCGGCGGTGTTGGGGTTGGAGGGACAGGCCCTTGCATGGTACCAATGGAGTGATGATAGGCGTCCTTTTCGTCACTGGGAAGGATTAAAAAACCGGTTGTTGGCTCGGTTCCAGTCATCTCAGGAAGGGGACCTATACGAACAATTTTTGGCAATTAAACAGGAAGGGTCGGCACGCGAGTATATAGGGAAATTTGAAATAGTATCGGCACAGCTAAGGGGTATTCCTGAGAAGATTATGCAAGGTACATTCCTAAAAGGGTTGAAACCGGAGCTACGAACTTCCTTGAGGTTGCTTCAACCAATGGACTTAGACCAGGCGATCCAACTAGCTCTGATGGTGGATGAAAATAAAATTATCAGCAACGGGAACGTGGAAAAAGGGGAAAACAAAAGTCAGCCAGTGCGGACCGGAGTGGGGGGCTCACGGCCGCTGGCCGCCCCACCAACCGGAACCCAACGACCGACAACAGGGGGTAACGAGCAGCCGTTTGAACAGATGACAGACTCGGAACTGGCGGATAAACGGGCTAAGGGCTTATATTTTCGATGCGATGGGAAGTTCACACCCGGACACCGTTGCCTCGAGAAATCCCTGCGGATCATGTTAATGGATGATGAAGATGACGAGGGGGAAGAGGTAACATCGGAAACTCACGCGCACTTGGATGCGATGGAGGTGTCAGTACCCTCAGGTGGTGGAGCAGTTCCCTGGTTTTCACCTTGAGGACAAGGTGAATTTTCGAGGCGGGGGTAATGACACGTCTCAGCCCGACCCGCACTGGGGTTGGATATATCAGCTTCGCAAAAGAGAGGCAGGAAACAAGTAAAGGGGGGCTGTATGCAATTTACTTATTCTTAATTATCTTAATTAGTTGATTAGGATAGATATTAATTAGTTTATTAGGATAAATATGTTTTCCTATTTTTTAGGATTAGGGTATATTTTTTAGGATTAGGGTACGGCTTTATTTAAGGGACCGACCACCCCATTGTTTGGATTCATTTCTAGTATTTTGATTCTTGTCGTAGACATTGGAGATTACTGGGTCTCGAATTCCAGGGTTTATTTTAATAAGCATCCGATTAGTGGTACTTTTGGCCGCTAATCTTGATTTTGCCAATTGATTCGTATCAGTCGACCAAAAAAGGTTTTGGCCTAGCGGTACCTAGTAAGCCAACCTTTTTAGAGGTCGAGGGTTCAACCCTCAACAAAGATGAGGAGATTGTGTAAGTTCAACTTGCCATATATAAATATTATATACTCAAACAAATTGTTACATTTATTTGGGGATGGAAGTACTTAGAAACTGCTCCAATCTTGTAAATGGTACATTGACACAATGATATGCTCACAACTCCCAATGTGTTGTTCGAATGCTATAATTAAAGATATTCTAAGCCTAAGCATCTTTTTTAGAGTTCTTATTGACCTATACCATTTCCGGTTCTAACAAATTATTCCAAGATCCTTCTTGTTAGTTTGGTAATAACATTATTACTAGCATGTGTCTCGATCTCATGGTTCCTCACAACCTTAGTTCTCTCGTTCTAGCCCAAAAAATTCATGTTGCAAACCAGCAGTTTCCTTTCACAAGAATTTCAATGGCTTTTGTTCTACATTCCTATCCCACAAACATCTAAGATAAACATGTCTTTTGGATCATGTTATCTCTACCTTGTTCCACATATTCCAACCCAAAGAAGTAATAACTACAAAAGACCAAAGGAACAACCACCTGTTTATATAAAGCAGAAAAGTGCTCTTCCATTCTAAATTTCCGAAGAATTTAATCATTAAGAAATGTAATTCCAACAGTACATACTATCAAATTCTGTATACTTATAGGTAGCAGATACATCATTTAATTCAACTCATTTCCATGCCTGGGATCATAATGAACTATAACATTGGCGTAGAGGTGTACTTCAATGACGTTGCATATTATAGGGAAGCAAAAATGAAATACTTTGGTGAAATTCATAATAGCTTGGCATCTTCAGTGGAACAAACATCAATGAGGAAAGCATCAGTGAGCGTACCGAGTGTGCTTAAGAATAGAGTCATAAACAAAAAGACTGACATGCAAATGTGTTGAGATATCATACGCGGATACCAGAATATAATATAAAATTATAATTAATCATAAAAGTATGGTTTCATCGAAAATTATGAACAAGCTACCTCCAACAACTGTTCACTATGACTTCATCTTTTGGAAGCGGGATTAACAAAAAAAAAACAAATAATAACAAAGGCAGCAACAATGATTTGCTCAACTACTCAGTTTTTGTGAAGAATGGTTTTCTTTTTATCTTGTGTGGACTGTGATATAGTCAAAATGTCATAAAAACAAGAAATTCCTCCTACAATTGACACAAAATCTTTCGAGAAACAACAATCAAAGGCAGCAACTTACAAATCAAATGAAATCAACAAAGGGGCAGCAACTAAACGGCACTTTAAGGCAGCAAGCTCAATAGAGGAATCAAATGCACAAGCTCAAAAGACAGAACGACAAACAAATTCATCAGGATTTAAGGGGAGCAAAACAATTTACATAATTCACGTCAAATCATCAATAATCCACCAATCCATAACAAGCAAAAGGGCTACAGCAGATAGGAACAGAGCATAGGGTTGAGTACCTGGATCAAAATCTTAAATCACTTCGAGTACGAGTTACAGACGAGAGAGGCCGAGAGCGTCACAGGCCACAGCGAGACGACGAGTCCAGCGATTTAGGTATTGATCGATTTAAAAGGCGTGCTTGAATTTTAAATGTTTTTAATTTTGATTGTGGGCCCCTTTTCTAGTTAAAATATATTTCATTGCGCCCCCTTCTAGTTTCAAACCTTACAGTAGCACACCTTGAAGCTTGAATGAAAATGAATTAGAACCCCTTCAAGAATTCATTTATTGAATCGAAATAGATAAATAAGTAATTAGATAAATAAATTTATTTATTTATATGATATTTAATAATATTGTGTGTGTGTGTAGATATATACCCAAATCCAAATATCCCCTCAAAGCCGGATTTTCAGGGTATTACACAAACATCTTATTTTCGATCTAGGTTTAAGTTTGAATTTTGAACCATTCGGGTTTTGTACATCCCTAGGTATGAGGTAAGGGGTGCACATGCTCCCACTCTATCGTCTCGACGCAATAGGATAAAGAATATATCTTAAAGGTGCACTTGTTTTAAACTGATGCTTACTTCCTTAAGTTACAAAAAAAAATGGTTACAGTCTACTGGTAGTGTCATTACATATGGTATTATAAGTTTCAAGTTCAAATTTTTTTGGTAATAGCTAGTAGAAGAGAGAGAAAAAACCACTAGATATTGCAAAAAATTGTTTTATATATAATTTTTAACAAAACCGTATTTAAAAAAATTATTAAACGGAGATCACGGCTCTAGCATTCTAGCATCAAGTCCTGAGGTTTAAGGGAAAATAAAGCAGTAGTGATGGATAAAACAATAACCCCAAATCCCAATGCACGAATTCTGGGCCGTTTATCAAACACTTACTCGGTAAGTATTTATCGGTAAATTTTAACACTATCATTTACTTACCTGGTAAGATCTTAGTCCACCAAAACCGTACCATATGCAATAATTTACCCGATAAACGCTTACCGTGGTAAGAGTCGTCGTCCTCATTCACCGGGTAAGACTCTTAGCCTTGTCTCGCTCCTACCGGATAAGATTCATTGTTCTTATCATTTTCATCTAATCCGGTAGGAACGAGATAAAACCAAATAACTAAATCATGAACAAAACTAAACCTACCATGTTTAGTCCTTGGTTCTATATTTTTTAGAACTAATTTTCAGTTCAGTTATTGGTTCAAGATTTTTCTAAAAGTCAGTTTCAATTCAATCCAGTTTGGTTCAAAACCGTATGTATTCAGTTCATGATCCGATCTGGGACTGTACCAGATTTTAACCGAAACCAAACCGGTTTACATCCGTTACCTTCTATTTTTCAGTTCTGATTCAAACACAATTCACACTATTAGACAGTGTTTCGATATGTTGAAAACCTGTGGAAGATCAAATGCAGCAAAATTGATTCATGTAGATCACAGAATGGTTGGAAATTGCAAAACCTCCTTTATAAATTCCCTCAATGGAGGAGGTAAAGAAAACAAACTAAGATTGCTAGGTTGGAGTCTCAAGTAGTAGTCTCTAATGGAGCTTTTTTCATTTATTTCGTTTTCGGAGGTTCGATCCGAGGCCTCCAAAGTCCCAGCCTATACTTATGGGCATACTTCAATATCAGCTTCCTCTGTTGCATCAAATACACGAAAGTAAATATTAGCCCAATTGGATTTTACACAAGAAATACTACACCAGCCATGTAATTACAACCAAAACAATACGATAAAAGTATATCCCAGGGTCTGGAGGGTAGGATGTATGCAGACATGATATCTACCCTAAAGAGCAGAGTGGTTGTTTCAATGACGACCCAGTTAGTGAAAGGTTCCGTATTTCATCCATCAAATATCTTGGTATGCACTATTGGAAATTCTTTACAGTTACACTAAAAGAAGCTTAAAGCTTCAAATGCAAATATATTGATAAATCTAATCAGATTAGTCGAGATCAATCAATGCCACCTGATTCAGGGTATGAATTGTATGCATTGGTTCTTGGTATGGGTATGGATGTGTTATACATAAGTTAGGGGCTGTTTACCAAAAAAAATTTATTAAGTCATGTATCATGTATGGATAAATTTGTCTGTCCGGATAAATTGGTGGTGTTGTTTACTTTTTTTTATCTGAACCAACAGTCTAAATAACATAAATGACCGATTTATCCCCCAATATTAATTATTTGAACATCAAAACAAATAATCATAAAGAGGCCGACGATGGGTGTCTCATACGGGAAGGAGGCGGTGCTTTAAATAAGGGGTAAGGGTGTCATTTTTGTGGCTGAATGGGGACAACACACCATTTCTATCTGTGCTAAGCCATGTTCTATGCGAATAAGCCGTAAGTAAACAACCCATATGAGTTGTGCTAATAAGTCAGATAGACCAATAAACCTAATTAAGCCGCAAGTAACCAGCCCCTTAGTGATATGTGATTCAATTCTTTAAGTATTAATCATTAATATATCGATAGTTTATATACAGGAATATGAAAGAAAAAAATCATTTTAAAGAAAAAGAACGGTTTTTATGCTTACCAACGTATAGATCAAGGTGCATTTTCCACACTTTCTATTTCTTTCTTCAGGCTTACCCAGCTTATAGATCAAGACTTCATCTATTTTGACAAATTATAATTCAATATCGCGCCTATAAGACTATAAGGGTACAAAGAACAGTTCAAAAGTTAAGTAGGCAGAGCAGAATGCTATTTGAACTTTTATTATCATAATCTGGAGTCTGGACTGATTCCTGGGACTTATTTTGGATGATTTCACTAGTTAAACTTTTATTATCATAATCAAAACACCATTTTCAACTGTCAGATATCTATATAACTTGTTTTATAGCTTTATTATGTTCAAAAACATTTAATTGCATCTTTAGTACAGGTTGATATTATGTTATCTGCCCTATGGATCAAATGTATGGAGTCTTTTCTTTGTTTTTATGTAACTCTATTAACATATTCCTTGTGAAGTTCCCTCCAATACTACTTTCAGGTCGGGTGAAAGAGCATTTGAGTACCGTATTGACATTCTGCAACTGTTCTTTCCTTCTTTCATGAGTTTTTGTAAACCGTGAGTCCAGGTGTGGATAAAGCGGACAATATATGGTACGGTTGGCCAGAGATGTTACAGTTTTAGCATCTTCTTTGTTCTTCTTGTAGTTAATATGTCAATGAATGGCCTTTTGAACCATTATATGTTGACAACCTTGTCTTAGTCACTCGCTAAACCATTTCAGACTCCCTTTTGTGTCGCTTCGGACAACATTTTTTAATTCTTCATTTTGGCCACTGTTCTAGAAAGCATTAGGCGGAGGGTGACCTTCTAACACTTAAATGTGCACTTAAGCAGAACCATAAACAGTTCATTTCAGTGTATGAAAAATAATTGTTTTAGATCATCATGTAAGCATACAAGGATTAAAACTGCAATAATATCATCATGTATATTACCTATCTAGGGGTTGGTTCAAATACGAAGGCTATATATCGTGAGAATACAAGAAGGGAAGGTTGATAGGTGAATTATTGAAAAAACCCAGAAAATAGAAATCGATTTGAAGATGCATATGTGAACGAATTTTCTGATTATTCATATGAATTCATATATGCATCTCCAAATACATATTTTTAATGATTCACATGTGAATATTCTCTTAACCTTCCTTCTCACTATATTTCGCCATCTTGTTTGAACCTTCCACTACTTCTCTAATCAAAGGACTCGGAAGATTCCTCCAAGCTTAGAAAAATCGATTTTTGAACAAAAGCTCAAAAAGGTGCATTAATCTCAGCTTAATTTTTTGAAAAGTTCACTTAATCAATTACTTGCTAATCAAAGTAGTTGATTCAACACCATTACCGTTTATATAATGAAATTGTAGAGAGATCGAATCAATTTAGACATTAATGCTACGTTCAAATCATCCTACAATTGCAAGTGAATCACTTACATGTTTGCAAACTTTTGGATCGCCTCCAACATTGAGTTTCTTCAGCTTCAAACCACGAGCAACAAGGAGATTCTGTAAATCGCCAAATTCAGATTCGAGCTTTTCTGCATAAGTCTCTACTCCGTTCCCTATTCCATTCAAGAACTCAGGTATACCAACCTTCACTGTAAATCACAATAAATTGGTCATCAGAATCAAGAAAAGAAAAACCCTAAATAGAGAAAATGCGTGAATCCGCTTACGAGGGTAGAGATTTGATTTGGAAGAATATCTTGCAAAGAAAACATTCGAATTGGAAGGAAATGATGAGAATATGTTTCGGTTCAGCAATTGCGTTTGCCTCCACGCCATTTCTTCAAAATCTCTGGTTTTCGCAAGTGAGGAGTGAAAGTCGGAAGTCGGAACCCTCTGTGACGGCCAAACAAAACAATCCACCTCCAGGACGATTTTGAAACCCGACCCGATATCCAAACCCAATACCCAATACCAATCTGGATCCATTTTAGAGTAAATTACATGTTTAGTCCCTGTAGTTATATGTTTTTAACGGTCTTTTTTTTTTTTTTTTTTTTTGAAAATTCAACAGATCGTGTCTCTAGGGTTGCATTCTTACAACAAGTCGTGTCATAGGGACCCACGTCGTTGATTTATTTAGGACCAAACTCGTTAAAGAACTCGGAACCACAAGAATCCAACTCACTTAATAAATGCAACCACAAGGATGTATCTCGTTAAATAACGTAACCATAAAGACACAATCCGTTGAATTTTGAAAATAAAAGATACTGAGATGAAACATGTTATTTACTCCGATAACTTTAGAGAAAATTACATATTCGTCCATGTGGTTATATGAAAATTGCCTATTAGCCCCTAGCCCAAATAAATTATGGGTAGAGTCCTTGTGTTTTCATTTTATTTTCTTCAGGGATCGAGTTTTTTTGTCGTAAGTCTCTTAAAAAAGTAAGTAAAAGGTATTTTGGTTATATAACATTATACGTAAATATACCGTAGCTTTGTTGAATTATTTTAATAGAGTTAGAGGAGAGGGCCTGATCCATAATCAGTGTTCAAAAAGGCGCGTCATGACGTGATATGATGTAAGACGTGTCTTTGTCGTTACAAAATGATCCACATCTATAAGGTGTGGCTCATGCTATGATGCCTTGAGGCACGTGCCATGGCTGCGGTACGCGTTTTTTTTGTAAGACATGAACTTTTTCAAAAGAAAATTATTTTTTTTAGTTTTTTTAATTTATTGTATATTTTGTCTTTTACGTGTTTAACTTACATTCTTATAGATTTATTTAATCACATCATTCACAGTTTCACGAATTCATAAGCATTATGGACTTACAATTAAAGCGAAGATGTAAATTACTTTTATAAGTTCTATTTTAAATGTTTGTTTAAAAATTATTTTTATAATAATAATCTATATGTTTTTTCTTCTAATATGAATTTCAATTTTTAATATCATTATCTAATTAGATAATATATGGAAAACATGTACATAAATATGTAATTTTATATATGACATACAAATTTACCGGCTTATGTCACGTCTTGAAAAATGTAACATCTCGCTTGAGCAAACCCCAAATTACCAATTTTATAAAATCTCCAATAAAACATAATTTATTGATTATTGGGACCAAAATTAATCTTAATTATTCTAAAAGTTTTGTCAAAGCACACGGGGCCAAAAATGGAAAATCTGAAAATGCTGCTGAAACGACTAAGTCTGGAGGAAGACCAGAGGCGATGAATTGGTCCAGATGCAGGCGATGGACCAGAGGCTGCTAAAATGACCAAGTCTGGAAGAAGAACAGAGGTGTTGAATTGGTCCTGAGGCGATGAAGGTCCAGAGGCGATGAAGGTCCAGAGGCCATGAAGGACCAGAGGCAATGAAAATGGACCAGAGGCGGTAAATTGATCTAGAGGCGATGAAAATGGACCAACACTTTGAAACACACAGATTTGGGCATAACAATAATTAACCTCAAAATATGGGATATTAATTTCTAAAAAAACTTCGAAATATATGTTTTATTTTAGTGATAAAACCACCCAAAACACAATTCCAAACTGGATAATAACGGATTTTTTTTTACTTACAACCCGAATTAAGTAGCAAAAGAATATGGGACGTGACTATATATAAGCTACACATACTACAACTATGAGATACGGTTATAAGCTACTATTTACCCAAAAGCAAGATCGAAATCTTCAAGTTCCCTGATAAATCTTCGAGTCAGACAACGGGTTCTTTCTTTTATCCGTCTTCTTTCCTGAAAGAGGTTGCCACTTAAATGGTAAGCCAACGCTTAGTGAGTTAAATAGTTAAGTATTACATATCAATGTCGCACATGTTTATAAACATACATAATAAACTCTTATCAATAAAAGAGTTCAAGACATCATCCAGATGCAAACCGAGACTTACAAGAAACCGAGTGAACAATTACGTACCAATCATAGGATTCCATATTCAAATCACCATAATATACCATACCATTGATGCTCAATACAACAAGGAGACAKGATCAACAACCAAATATACTCAACAACGTTAGAATACCAATAAATATCAAGAACCAAGAGAWCGAATCGGTAAACATAACGAGGACAGTGCATCACCTCGTCCTTCACCTCCCGGGCTCATGCCAAAGTCCGAGTCAGAGTCATACAATATGGGAAACCTCGCACTGCCTGCCTTCCTCTACCGGGTATGTGCCAAGGTTCCTTACTCATTGCTCTTCCTCCTCTTCGAGCAATGAGTATTCACAACCGCAGAAAGTCTCACCCGTCCAACCCGGGATCTTGACTTCGTCATAAACTTCCGGCGTACCACATGAAATAGTACCCGTACTATGGCGTACAATTCAAGGAACAAAACAATGAGTCTGGATCCAGAAAGCAAACCGATGTACCGAGATAGTAATAAGAAATCGACTCAAGAGACGAAATCAAAGACAAATCAAGATCGTGTGACTCCATTCAAGATCAAAAACATTCATATGAAAATATATATGTTCAAATCAATATGTAACAATTAACTATATAACTCACCGGGCAACCGTATAATACCGAAAAGCTCCAAAATGAGCTCATAAAGAAAGTCCAAGCTACCACACTTAGATTGCTTCCAAAGCATCAAAATATGTCCTAATTACCCCCTGGAGTAAATGCACAAAATCTCATAAGCAACCAATATAAGAAACCTATGATATACACATATCCTATTTGAACACTTTACCTAAATTTCTATGTACAGCTGCTGCATGCAGAACTGTTTTGCCCATTTTAAACTCGGATTCATGCCTTGATCATAAAATAAGAAATAAACTAGACACAATTATCTAACTAAGAAAATTGGCCTCACCTCATTTGGATTTTTCTACGCTTTTATACAGATTTTCAAAGTCTGTACACTTTCAATGCATTCTTAAGTTGAAATTCTCATTTTCATACATTTTTCTCAAACCATTTCGATTCCAAACTATTCCAATATAAATATACTAAGCAAATAATTGAGCATATTAGAAATTGGATGTTACAAAAAACATCGTGTCCTCACCATGACATATAAAGCTTGAGGCTTGACCTCGTCTCCACATCATGTCCATAATACAAATGAAACTCATCCTCATCCACTAAAATAGGACAATTGCCCCTATCCTTAAATTTTCATGTAGTTTGACAATTTATAATTCATTCAATTTATAAAAAATGATAACATGACGATTCAATTATTTAGACTAATATAACGAATTACAGGTTTGATTTGAACTATAAATCTTTTATGAGTTTCAAGTATTTTCAAAAAAGTAAGATGAAAAAATATGTGGACTTTATAATAATCATAGCTAATGACGAAGTCAGGAGAAATGATGGGTTGAGAGAATTTTGAATTAGTGCTCTAAATTTTATTCATCCCTCGTCCCAATAGTATTTTGGGGCTTGCATAACTAGGTATATCTACTAGAGATGATTAATCATTTGCTTCAGGAAGAAATCAAAAAATTTCTTGAAAATCCTATAAGATCCATTCGTTTTTTTTCTCTGACAGTTGGTCAGAACTTCATCTGGGTTCGAATCTTACTAAGAGGTCCAGTAGATATCATAAATTCCATTTTTGGTCACAGCTCAAAAAATGTTTGGTAAAAGATCATGTTAAGACTTGAAAATGCAATACATTAAATAAGTGAGAAGCTTTAACAATGGAACATAAGATAATATTACCATTGCATTTAAATACTAAACCAAGTTTAGCATGAACATTCATGCCAGCTTAGAGATGGCCAAAAATCGGTCCCGGGCCGGGCCTTAACCGGTTACGGCCGGGCCTAATCGTGACAAAAACCGGCGTTAACCGGTCCCTCCATAACCGGTCCCGGTCCCGGTCCCGGTCCCGACCGAAAACACTATAACCGGTCAAGCTGTCGTATAACCGGTTAAGGAAAACCGGTCCCGGT